GACTGCCCCCCCCACCCCACCAAAAGCCATCTGAGAGCGCTCAATTGTATCGCCATTGACGTTGCCGTTAACTGCGACGCCGACAGCGACGGCCACTGCGGCAGCGACGCTGGCCGCGTGTAAAATTGAAAGACTTACTCACACAATTGACTCACAGCGCCCAACCGGAGTACACGCGGCGAAATAAAAGCCAATTTTCAAACAAAAAAATTATCAAAAAATAAACAAAAAAAACCTAAAAGGTAATTGCCTGCGGAAGTCTATTTCATTAAGTTTGATGACAATTAGTTTAGCAGTTTAAGCCAATAAATTACTTTAGCATTGACGAGTTAAATGATTAAAAGGGAATATTTTACTTAAATGATTGGCTATGAAGCAAAAAAAAAGGTTTTAAAATTATTTTATTATAAATATTTAAAAAAAACTAACAAGCAACATATTCTAACATATTTCTGTCCTTTATAAAATATTTTCAAGTCTTTGGAGCTTTTAATTCTTAAAAAAAATAGTTCTTAAGTTCTTAAAAAATATTTAAAACATACAAATCTAAGATATTATTAATAGAAACCATAGAAATCATCAGAAATTGCTTTAAATATCATTATATCATGTAAAAAACATTAAAAAATAGTTCCTAAGTTCATTAAAAATATTTGAAATATCATAAAAAGTCATAAGGTTTCTCCTTAAATTTGTATTATTAACAGAAATCATTAGAAATTATGATAAATATCTTTCTAACATAGATACACACATTTATTCTTTAAAAACCCTTACTAAGAAATTATTTTTTAAAGAATTCCCTAAACATTCTTAAGACCCTTTAGTTTTATATCTTAAAAATCGATAAAATTATAGACCCTTCTTATGATTAGAATTTTCATTAGAAATCTAGCTAATTTCTCTCAGTGTAGTATTGCGGCTGGAGCCAAGAAACTTGCGTTACCGGATTTCGGATGCTGTTTGTTAGCCGCCCGACTGTCCGCACTTCCCATCTCCCTCTGGCACACACACATATGTTATGTGTGAGTGCTCCATCCCGCTCCCACCTCAAGCCAGTTCAATAGACGAACATTGAAAACTTTAGCTTTGGTTTTTTTCGATTATTTGTATTGTTTTTGATTTTTTGATTTTCTGTCTTTTTTGTTTTTTTTATTTTCTTTTTTTTTAGTTTTTAGTTTTCAGTCTTCCTCTGCCGACGTCGCTGCTAGCAAACACCTATTGATTTCGCTTCGGACAACAAATTCATGACTTTGGAATGTTTTCAGTGTGTTTCGGGGATATACAAATAAAAATACAAACATATACAGATATTTTTTGTCAGAGCTGCTGCTGTTGCTGTTGCTGCAAACTGGAAATTCTTCGGGGTCCGTTGGAGTTGACCCAAAAAATAAAAAAGCGGCCAGACTGCAGTTGCAACTTGCAGTTTGCTTACACACTCGCCTTATCACTGCTGTCGTGGTGCTGGGCGGTAGAGAAGGGGGCGGCATTAAGTATACGCCCCTTTGGCATATGCCATGGATACTGGCTAGTGGCTAGTGGGTAGTGCTTGCCAAACTGTAATTCAATTTATCAAGAGACCGAGAGCTGGAGCTCTCAGAAAACTTCATGCGATTCCAAATGGGTCAGCCATTGATTGAATTAGATGCCACGCCACACGAGTAATGTGTATCTTTGAAATTCAAAACCGTAATTGCATTTATTTATTAGTTCGTTGAGGATTCCATTTTTTTTTTTTTGCCAAAACTTATACTTTTTGATTGACTATGTTAGTCCAAAAGGCATTCAATATACATAAAAATATTTTATTTTAATGAGTTTAACTTATTTTTAGGTGTTTTGGGTAAGAAATGGCATTTGAAGTTAAAGATATTGAATAAAAGATGTATTTTTTAGAAGGAAATCTCATAAGCATGGCTTTAGAGGAGTTTCTAAAATTTAATACATAATACCTAATATTCTTATCATTTAATTTAATAAAGAGAATAATATTCTCACGACAAAATAGCTTTTAATTGAAATATTTTAAAATAAAATATGCATTTTCTTGGCATTTTTGGTGAAATAGCCAAAAATTTTGGTAAAGTTTCTAGAATATATGATACCCGGTACTACTTCCTTTTTTGATTGAAATTATATAGCATCGTATAGCTTCTCTTCCTAATATACCTTCTTTATATTACTATCTTAATTTTGGCCTTAAATTTAGTAACTAAAACATAACGTAAAATAAATAAAACTTCAAACAAAAATAGGCCAGCAAAAACTTTGCAAGTAAACATACAAAATGATTCACAAATCAAAAGCCAAAAAGCCGCAAAAAATGGAAGTATATCTTATATTCACAGCTATAAAGTAACACTTTTTTTTAATAGATTTTTCACACTTTTTTATTATTACGGTTTTTTCCCCCTAACCCAGTGACAGCCCACATTTATCATCTTTTTTACCAAGAATCTGAAAACTCTCAACTCTAAACACTCGAAGTACTTGTAGAGTTGATTTGCATTTCCAGAGATCTGGTGTGGCTGCTGCTGTTGTATATATATTTTTTTAATGGGTTCATAATGAATCTTACTTTTGGTATGTGGGTCCCATAAAATTTATATTTTTTTTCGCTACTTTTATGTATTTTTTTTCACATTTTTTTTGGTTTTTTTTTTTTTTGACAGTTGATTTCCACTTTCGACAAAACTTGTTTCGTTTTGAGGTTAGTTTTCTTTGCCTGTCTGTTGTTGTTGTTGTTGTATGTTTCTTGTTTAGCCGCTTTTTATAACAACAACAGTAACAATAACAAAAACAAAAAAAAAACACGTGGCACACAACGCAGCCCAAACTGTAAGCAGCTTTTATTTCTATTCCTCACATTCCTGCATTTGTATCTGTATCTGTATTTGTATCTGTATCTGTAGTATCCGTGAAATGTATCTGTGTTGTGTCTTGTGTGCCTTGCCCCCGTGTTGTATCTCGCACTCGCTTTGTCTATTTTGCAGTAATTTTCAGTTGGTTGAATTCGGTGGGAGGCAAAAAAGCTGAGGAAGCTGTATGTGAGGCACAAACTTGGCTAAAGATGTGGAGAGCCGACCCGAGGTTGTGGTATGGGTTTGTGGGTGGCAAGGGTAGTGGGAGGGGGAGGGCAATACAGCAAACGAAACTCCCACCATTTCCATTTCCAAATGCTTTTTGTTGGCCACTTTGATGGTCCATGGGGGAATTTTTCGTATCTGTATCCCCACCATACACTCTGCACCCTATATAACTCAGAAAGTATCTGTATTTCAGAGTTTATACTGTATCTGTGTGTGTGCCTTAACTATTTGCCGTCACTTTTTGCACTCTCACGCCCACAAAAAATAATGTGAAATAAAAAATTAAACAAATAAATAAATAAAACAGAATATAAACCAACCTAGCACTGGCATTCATCACTCATCCAATCCATACTCTAGGTGTTAATGGGCTTAATAATGGGTTAAGCTGATGCCTTGTACCAAAATAATGAGGCGACTAACTAAAAAATTTCCATGAATCAAAGTGGTGATTAGACTAAGATTTTTTTTTAATTTTTAAGATCATTATTTAAGCTAAAATATAGTCATACTTCTAAGAACTTTCAGAACACCCAGCAACTAGTTCTCATATAGATCTTTAAATTGTAGACCTTTTTTGGGAATTATTCTTAAACCTTTCTCTAAGATATTTTTATGTTAATCTTTTATAATTTTTTTAAACTCACTTTATTTTTAAATTCTGCTTTTCTTCTGCGCTGCAACTGCTACTACTTATGCGGTTTCTTATATTTTTTGATGTTTTTTCTTTCTCTCTATTTTTTTATGCAATTGCACCACAATATTATTATAAATCCACAACAAATATCAAAATTGAAATTTGCTACACCGAAAAAAAAGGAAAATATGCTTGCGGTGTAACGGGCTTGAGACTTGACTTGAAATTCGAACCACGTACCAAAAAATAAGAGACGCCAACGCGTGCGCGCACTTTAAAACAAAAACAACAAAAAATAAACACAGAACTTAAAAAAAAATATATATATTTTTAAGAAGAGACACACTCACACACACACACACACACTGAAACACTCCTCTCTGCCGGTGAGAGCGACGACAGGTAGAGTGTAGAGAGCGGCGGTAGGGTTACGAGTGCGGAGAACAAGAACACGAACCGAAGAAGGCAAAGCGACCAACCTGCGACGCTGGAACTGCGACGCTACGGAAACGTCGACGGTCGCCTCACAACTGAAGCGGCCGGAGAGGCCCCAGAGCCCCCAAAGGCCCCAAAGCATCAAAATGGAAGTCGCCGTAGCCCCAGCTGCTGCAAGAGAGCGTCAGTGATGCGCTCACAAGATAAGACTAATAAGCTAGATCGGTAATAAAGAGCGGAAAAATGGCTAAAGTGATATTTCTGTTCAGTTTTTAGAAAGGAAAGTAAAGAAAAGCTTAAAATTCGTTATGAGAAATATGAAGAGAGATCCAAAAGATCTAAAAAGAAATGATTTTTTATATTATCTATCATTAATAGCTAAAAAATAGAGACACTTTAGCTTTAAACTGGCAACTAAACTGCCAACACTGACAGCATAAGCTATGGAAGAAAAGAGAGCGGAAGAAAGGGCAAAAGCCGGAGAATTCGAGAGAAAAGAGAGCGCAAGAAGCCTAGCTGACCGCAAAGTCACTTGCAAAGACACAAATGCAAAAGCCAGAAGAGTGGAGGGGGGCTAAAAGGGGGCGGAAGAAAGAGCGGGCTAGTTAGACAGTTATTAAATGAAATGTGAGAGTGGGCTTCCAGCCGACAGTTGAGCATTCACTTAAGCTTGTTATTTTTAACTGGGCCGCAGTGCTTCTCAAAACACTGCAGGTGATCGTGTTCCATAGAGTTTGAAAGCCACTGTGATTAAGTGGGTTAGACTAGTGATTAACTTAAAAGCATTAAACGGTATAGACATAAAATATACATTTTAAGTATTTCTTCTTTAAACTCACCCAATCTAGTATCATTCTTTTTTCGCACTCGCAGACAAATGGTACAGGATTTGATGCACTGAAAAGAAAAAGTAAATAATATTAATTAATATTTAAACAGGTCAATTATCCTTTAAGATCTATGTAATATACTTACGTCATGTATGTGACGAATGACCTCCGTACGGGATATATTGTCCAGGGTCAGGCCATTGACCTCGAGTATCTCATCGCCCACTTCCAGATTATCGCGATCGGGCGGTGAGCCGTATAGTTTAATTTTACCCTCCACATTCTCGACGAGTATGATGACATAACCCGATAGTTCGACTACTTGTTGCTGTGAAAAGATTAAGGATAATGGATATGCTTTAATAAATATTGTGCGGCAACAGGGCGTATACTTGATATTATGTTTAAAGTATTCCTGACCAGTATAGGGGATATTTTAAGGGGGTTTGGCTCTGTTTTTGGCTTAAAAAAAGATTTACTAGTTTACTTTTATTTATTTCCAATAATGGTTAAGTTTTTGGATAATATTACGTATACTTGATATTAAGAAAATGTATCTAAAATAAAAAAAAGTACCTTAATAATATTTAAAAAATGGTAAACTTTATTTTTCAACTAAATTCCATTTAATTCAACAATTATTTCCACTTCTATATGACAACCCTGCGTATACTTAATGTTAAGAAATAAAAATTTCATTTTAAACCCTTATTTAAACATTAATTTAAGCATTTAATTATATTTAAATGTAAGCAACCAACCTAATCATCAACATTAATTATTACAATTGTCAAGCAACATGAAAATTAGCTTTAAACACAAAAAAAAGAAGAACGCCGAGCAACATGGCGTATACTTAATACGAAACGATTCCCTTTGCTCACGAAATATTTACAAAGTCTTTGGTTAATGTCTCGCATAAAGTCATTTTCATAAATGCCAGTCTAAATAGCAACAAAAACAACTTATTTATGCTACGCCTATGCCTCCAGTGGGCGTGGCATGGTGGGTGTTTGGTGATGCTAAAAAAAAATCCAAAAAAAAAACCAGAGAGAGCTAGGGAAAAAAAAAACAAATTAATTACACAAAAGGATGAAGGACTAAGACTCACTCTGCAACAACAAACAATTCAACTTCAGTTCAAACACCAGTCGTTCTATGTATGTGTTGTATCTGTGTGTGTGTGGGATTTTGTATGTGTATGTAGATGAGTGTGGGAAGTTTTGGCCATTATTGCTTGGGCTGGCTCGTTATGTTAATTACAACAAATTATGCTCATGCGGCAATTGCGGGGGGTAACTCCTCTAACATTCATTCAAACACACAGACATACAAATACGCGTATATCCTAGCTCATGGCACCCACACATATACATACATACATACATACATATATACGTCCACGCCCTCAAGCGTGTAATCAGTAGGCTGGCCAACTTTGATTGCCCCAGAGTTTGCACAACGTCAGTTTGACATTCACCATACAAATAAATTGCCATTTCAAAGGACCTTTTAGACAACAGTTTCACAAGCACTGAATGGCTTATAATTGGACAATAATTCGTTATTTTTTGTTTGGAAATAATTAATTATTAATAAGTCTATTAAAGCGAAGATGTATCTATTAAATAAAAACACTCTTTAATGAATAGAAACACATTTTCCTTGTTGGTGACCCCGAAGGGTGACCCCGATAACACCAAAAAACCAACACTAATACTAAAAATAACATTTAATTATTAATTTTACAAAAATCAGACAGTTCTTTGTCAGAAAATAAACAGATCTCTTACTTAAACTATAAGTAATGCCCTTATTTTGTAAACTTTACTCAAAACACAAACAAAACCCATAAAAAGCACAACAATTATTTGGCAAATTCACTGAAATAACCTTTCAAATTTTCCAAAATGCACAAAACACACACAAAACTTTCCAAAAAGCCCACAAAATCTCTAATGTCCAAGATTAGAAACGTTTCATGAGGACCACTTTATTGTAAGGACTAAGTTGAGTTGCACAAAAAAAAACCAGAACCACAAAACAGAAAGGATATGTATTTATACATTCCACAGACATTTTGTGAGGAAACCCCAGGCTGATGCATTTTTAAAAAATCCCTAAGCACTGGCATGGACGACTGGTAAGTGACACCTTTCACCTTTTTCCCAATTGGGCAACATCCTTGGAATAATTCATTGCTTGCTCGTCCCATTTAATGCCAACAGCCTGGCACATCCTTGACAATTTAAATAGGCTTCAGGTTCATATTCGGTTTCAGTTTAGAAATTGTGGCAAAAACATACCAAACCGCAAGGATACAAACCGAAATTCTGGTAAAAAGTATTTAAATGTAGACCACAAAAAAAACTCATGGATATGTTTCTGACTTTTAGTTGCAAATAAGAAATAAAATAAAAGCAAGTTTAAATAAAAATAAAAACAAAAGAGCTTGTAAATGAAAAAGTTGCCTAATTAGAAGACAAAACATTAAAAAAAAACCAGAAATAATTTGTCTTTATTGGGTCACAAAAGTGAATGAAGAGGCGGTCAGTGGGAAGTGGAAAGTGGGCGGTTGAGGGCGCGTAGGCGTGGCAATGTGGCAGAAACAACAATTGTTGCAAGTGCAGGTCGACAATATCAACAGCAATAACAACAACAACAACAACAACAATAACTGTAACAGCAACAACAAGGAAAGGCGACAGGCAAAACACTCAACTGGAAGTGAACTCGAGTTGAGCTGGCAAGCGTCCAAAAAGGACACACAAAGTAAAAAGGATCCCGAAAGGTGAGGCTGTATAAGGAGAGTGAGGTGTGAGGCGGCAATGGGCTGGTTTTGGTGTGTTATGGAATGTCCTGGGCCAGGTGCTAAAAAGGGCCAACAGCACACAAAAGCGGCGAATAAACAGGAAGACAGCTCTCGACATTGCAGCCTGAAGAGGGCCAAGGAGGTGGTGGTGGTGGCGGGCGGGCGGGCCAACAACAGGAGGTGAGAAAAATAGGCAGAGTGGGGCGGTGAGGTGGTGGGGTAGTTGGGTAGGTGAAAAACCGCCAACATTTTCCAACTGTTTGCAACTGCCACTGCCTCATATTTCACGCCTCTTTCTTGTTCGAAGTACCCAACCGATTTTTCCCAACGCCCCTTTAGTCTTTTACCAACACGCCCCCTTCACCCGCCCTCTTCTTGGTATTAACGTGGCAAAAAGTCAGGCAATTGATGAACTGCCATTGGCAAGCAAAAAAAAAAAAAAAGGAGGAAAAAGGGAAAAAAACCAACCAACTGAAATCCAAACCTAAGCTGCATAATTATTGGCGCTTCAACACCGGATGCACAAGCACACACACTCACAGACACACAGACACAGTCACTCACCCACACACATTCTAACGTACTACCACAAACGCCCTTTAGGACAAGGAAAATATAAAAAAAATTCTAAGAATTACATTGAAATAAAAGAAGGAACATTTGAGGTTGCAAGTTTAGAACTAAAGTATCTTTATGAACTTGAGAATATTTAAGTTATTTAATAAAGCAAGTAAGGTTTTATTCAATAATATTTAGCTTTAATTAATTATATTAGAATGCTAATATAGAACTAGATCCATACCATAGAAGAAGTATCCTTAAACCTAATTAAAATCCACTCCAAAAAAAAAGTTAAGCCACAAAAAATCATATTCTTTTGTAGGACACCACTTTCCTAAATATTTAACTCTATTTTTCACATTAATAACCCTATTAATTTGAACTTTATTGTAAACCCCGAGACTAGAGAATCGAGAATATAGACTGGAGACTGAGAATGTGGCGGAGGGCTAACTGGGGACATAGACAAACTGGGGCACTTGTACAGAAGCAACAGCAGCAGCTGTGCCACTACCACTACTCCTCCCATTGGGCAGAACCTTTCCTACACCACCTCCCTACCCCCCCCTTTTTGGACCTTAGACCAAAACCCTAGTCCCCTGCCTCGCTCCCCCCGCATGGCCCTAAGTTTGCGGCACTCGAATGAAAAATGACAGCAATTACGCTTAAATTATGCGTTTGTTTTCATATGAGCGTCCTTGTCAGTTGTTCTTGTTATTCTTGTTATTGTTGTACTTGAAGCTCATTTCACACATAGACACATGGCAAGTACAACAACAAGACACACACACACACACAGACACACATGCGAGAAGTCTGGGCGACAACTTTTTCCCTTTCTCCTGACTTTCATTGTCTTTGCTATTTTTTTTTTTTTTGTGCCATTTGCACAGGGAAATTCTCGTAAAACTCGGAAAATAGAAGAAAAGAAATGTATGGAAACAAATAGGAAAAAAAAGAGAAAAGCAAAGTGCAACAAATCCAGTCAAGCATGACTCGATACGAAAATGTAAATCAAAAGTTTTGGTTCAAAAAGAAAACTGATTTCCCGATCGTAATGGCATTTTTATAGCATACTTTTGTGGGTTAGTTAGAACCTGGGGATTGTTTTGCAAGAAAAATAAAATTATAATTAAAGTTAAGGTGTTTTCAAATTAATGATAATAAATTTAATAAAATGGTAATTTCATTTCTAGATTCTAAATGACCTCGTTTTAAAGAAAACTTAAACTCTTAAGAAACCAATAGTTTCCATTTCTCAACTCGAATTAATTACCCCTTTTCAACACTATGAATTAACATTAACCAACACTTACAAGCTAAGCTTTCTAACTGTATCCTTAAGATTCCTATTTGGAAAGTAGCCCTCCAACCGAACTAATAACCACTTTCCAACACTATAGCATCACTTGGCACTAACCAACACATACCAACTACAAGATAAATCCTTTCTTTTCAAGAGCATCCTAGATTCTAACTGAATAACGGTAATATTTTCCATTCGTTTCGCTTCTACGCGCTCGACTGCTAATGACAAAGCCAAGAACAAAACCAGAAACGAAAAATAGACAACAACAACAACAAAAACAACGAAAAAAAAAACGTAGAAAGAAAACAGAGACAAGAGGACGATGAATGGATGATGTTTGGGGAGGAGGACATAGAAGGGAAAAATGGTGGGAGAGAAAAAGCAGAGAAAAGCAGAGAAAGGCGAGAACAAGAACAAAGCACTTGACTTGTCATTTTTGACATATAAATGGCGAAACAAATCTTTGGATATTGTTTTAAATGATGCACACACACCGCCACACAGTCACACACTCCCACACAACACATACAGATATAGATAGCGAAGCTGACAGCGACGCCAGCTGAGGCAGTGACGCCGACAGAGACACTGGCTGGCTAATAAGCAGCAAAAAGGGATGAATGATGTGAATGTGGAGGCTTGAATG